TCTAGAACTGACCTAAAGACCTGCCGTTATCTATAAGTGACCTAAAGACCTGGTGTTGTCTAGAACTGACCTAAAGACCTGCTGTTGTCTAGAACTGACCTAAAGACCTTGTGCTGTCTATAAGTGACCTAAAGATCTGCTGTTGTCTAGAACTGACATAAAGACCTGCTGTTGTCTATAAGTGACCTAAAGACCTGCTGTTGTCTAGAGCTGACCTAAAGACCTGCTGCTGTCTAGAACTGACATAAAGACCTGCTGTTGTCTAGAACTGACCTAAAGACCTGTCGTTGTCTAGAACTGACCTAAAGACCTGCTGTTGTCTAGAACTGACCTAAAGACCGGCTGTTGTCTAGAACTGACCTAAAGACCTGTCGTTGTCTAGAACTGATCTAAAGACCTGCTGTTGTCTAGAACTGACCTAAAGACCTGCTGTTGTCTAGAACTGACCTAAAGACCTGCTGTTGTCTAGAACTGACCTAAAGACCTGCTGTTGTCTATGGTTGACCTAAAGACCTGCTGTTGTCAGAGGCGTAGCTAGGGGAGGGCGGGGAGGGCGGCCGCCCCGGGCGCCGACCCTAGGGGGGCGCCAAAATGGGTAGAAAAAAAAAATTTACAAGCTCATTTTAAGCTGCAGTTTAGAATTATAAACAGTCAAATTAAAGAAATTTAACGGCTGAGAGCCTTTGCATACTGATTTGACTGTTTTCTACCTTGATTGAGTAACTGTAAATGGTATATCCTTAAGAAACAGTGACCGGAAAAACTGCTTTCCAGCTTTCCTAGATAGGGGGGGTCGCTTTTTTGAAGACTAAAATCGGAAAAAATTAAGGAGTAAATAACCCTTATCACTCAGAAAAGACCCCATGGAACTAAAGCGTATTTTACGATTGTGTAACATAACAACAAGAGTTAGTGACGTTTAAAATCCCCTCTACCATTTTTGTCCAAGATGGTGGGGGAGGGGGAGGGGCGCTTTTTCACCAACAAAAATCGCACGATTTGTCCTGGATCGGTTACTAGATAACTCTTTTAACACTTAGAAAAGAAATGTGTTTCATTATACAATCAACCAGTCAACGAAATACCCATATCGTATTCCAATGTGAACAAACTTATAATCCAAATATATACTATATTATAAAAGAGACTGTTCCAAAGATAAAACAAAAAAAACTGTCCTAAACGAATTAGCACCGCTACAATATTTTTTTCTGACATTACTAATCATCATCTTTAAAGGATTATACATCTTAAGGGGAGTTTAATTGGCGTCGAGTAAAGTTCTAGGGAACGACAATCATACACCGTAACTATTAATTTTTTTCAAGACTGTCGCACACACATACATACACACACATATATATATATATATATATATATATATATATATATATATATATATATATATATATATATATATATATATATATATATATATATATATATATATATATATATATATATATATATATATATATATATATATATATATATATATATATATATATATTTCTGGGGGGGGGGCGCCAAACTGAATGTTCGCCCCAGGCGCCGGGAGGGGTCGCTACGCCTCTGGCTGTTGTCTAGAACTGACCTAAAGACCTGCTGTTGTCTAGAACTGACCTAAAGACCTGTCGTTGTCTAGAACTGACCTAAAGACCTGCCGTTGTCTAGGGTTGACCTAAAGACCTGCTGTTGTCTTTAAGTGACCTAAAGACCTGCTGTTGTCTATGGTTGACCTAAAGACCTGCTGTTGTCTAGAACTGACCTAAAGACCTGCCGTTGTCTAGGGTTGACCTAAAGACCTGCTGTTGTCTATAAGTGACCTAAAGACCTGCTGTTGTCTATGGTTGACCTAAAGACCTGCTGTTGTCTAGAACTGACCTAAAGATCTGCTGTTGTCTAGAACTGACCTAAAGACCTGTCGTTGTCTAGAACTGACCTAAAGACCTGCTGTTGTTTAGAACTGACCTAAAGACCTGCTGTTGTCTAGAACTGACCTAAAGACCTGTCGTTGTCTAGAACTGACCTAAAGACCTGCCGTTATCTATAAGTGACCTATAAACCTGGTGTTGTCTAGAACTGACCTAAAGACCTGGTGTTGTCTAGAACTGACCTAAAGACCTGCCGTTGTCTAGGGTTGACATTAAGACCTGCTGTTGTCTATAAGTGACCTAAAGACCTGCTGTTGTCTATGGTTGACCTAAAGACCTGCTGTTGTCTAGAACTGACCTAAAGACCTGTCGTTGTCTAGAACTGACCTAAAGACCTGCCGTTATCTATAAGTGACCTAAAGACCTGGTGTTGTCTAGAACTTACCTAAAGACCTGCTGTTGTCTAGAACTGACCTAAAGACCTGCCGTTGTCCAAAACTGACCTAAAGACCTGCTGTAGTCTATAAGTGACCTAAAGACCTGGTGTTGTCCAGAACTGACTTAAAGACTTGCTGTTGTCTAGAACTGACCTAAAGACCTGGTGTTGTCCAGAACTGACCTAAAGACTTGCTGTTGTCTTATGCTGTTTGACATGTGGTGTATCATGAACTAAAATTTTCTCATCGATGAAGGTGTGGACCAGACAGCATTCGAATGACATATGACATATGACACATGACATATGACATGACATAACATAACATATGACATATGACATTTGTGTAGCTGACCTGCCTATAGTAGTAAAATCATGAAAACTTACCTGACTCAAAGATTGAAACCCTGACAATCTACCTGATTCAAAGATTGAAACCCTGACATACCTGCCTGCTTATCGCTTTACAAACGGGGCTGTGTGACATCTTAACAACCGTCACGAGAGACGAGTCTATATGAACTTGTAACTCATTAAAATAATTAGATGCTGTTCAAAAGTAAATAATTAGCCTCAATTAAAGTTCGAATGGCTAGCTGGCTCTAATTGTAGTCATCTGCAAACCCTGTGCTTTCATTAGCCTCGGTGACGTAAGTTCAGCAAAATGTAAAGACGTTCATGTCTAATATTAGCAGTGCTACAATGTTAGCTGGCAGAGTCAATGATCCTAGTCCAAGTAGCGTAGCAATACTTCATGCTTAGTGCTTTACTAGGGGACATAACCCCACGATTGTTTACAAACTCAAATAAAACGTGGTTAATTCCCTTTACACGTCAACTCTAGCGGGCCGGCATGCTAAATTTAGCTCAGTAGCTCAAGTCATGTGACAAGTCATGTGACAAGTCATGTGACAAGTCATGTAACAAGTCATGTGACAAGTCATGTGACAAGTCATGTGACAAGTTATGTGACAAGCTTTCTCCTACCACTGGTGGTGTGCTGGTGGTGGGGTAGTAAGCACACAAGAGGAACATAAACACCTGAAGAGTTCTAAGTTCAGGGAAACTTTTTAACACGTTTTTCTTAACTTAGGTTCGCGTTTGTTTGTTTGTTGTTAAAATTGACAACGAAAATTAGCCCACTTCTGATTGCTCTAGAGATCTGAAATTCGGCATGCAGGCTATTTTCGCCTAACAATTTCAGATGCAATCATAAAAACTAGCAATTAGAGACCTAAATTAGCTTAATTAAATTACGCCCCAAGGACCCTAAAATTGAGGACATGATTTCTAAAGATACCGACAAGACTGGAGGCCTATTAACACAGTGAGCGCGCTGGCCGTGATCGTATAGTGGTTAGTACTTCGCGTTGTGGCCGCAAAAAACGTGGGTCGGGCAGATTTATGATTAAAGCGAAAAGCACACAACACACGAATTTTGGAAATTTGGTGGTGAACGTACCCACGTTTTTTGTCATCAAATGTATGAACAGTCGTCACAAGAACCAGCACAGCTCGAGGAAGCACAAAATCTACGAGCAGTCATTGGTAGATCCCCTAGGGTCGGAAGAAAAATTTATTTTCTACTTTTTAGTACACAAGAAAAACGTGGTTTTTAAAAAGTTTTTTTTAAGTATTTTATTACAAGTTTTGAAATATATCAACTACTGGTAAACTATCAACTTTTGGTAAACTATCAACTTTTGGTAAACTATCAACTACTGGTAAACTATCAACTTTTGGAATGTTTACTGCGTGTAGGCTGAGCGCTAAATTTAAATTACTACTACACTGTGTAGCTTTAAAATTATAAACATTTCAAAATGAATATTATTTTCAAACTTCAATATGTTGTTGTTTAGATGTGTTGTTGTTTAAATGTGTTGTTGTTTAAATGTGTTGTTGTTTAAATGTGTTCTTGTTTCAATGTGTTCTTGTTTTAAGGTGTTCTTGTTTCAATCTTGTTTAAATGTGTTGTTTCAATGTGTTCTTGTCACAATGTGTAGAAACAAAATATTTCCCACTTGAAGTACTTCAACAAGTTAGCGAGCATTACCGACTGGTACTTTAGATGCTATTTATAGCCACGATCCTACCAATGTTATTGGGCACTGGTGATCCAATGGCCTGCTATAAAACAAGTGGTTTAATTGTTTGGGTCACGTGACTAGATATTTAGGTTAATTACACGTAGCACATAGCGCATCCATGACTTGTTGTCAGACTACCAACTAGCACATACAAGATCACTAACGACCATCTAACATACAAGCCCATACAACATGACTAACATACATAACCACATACTACAAACATGCAAGACCACATACACGTAAACTAACGACCAACGTTAAAGTTTTAATAAATAAACTCTCACAAAAGTTTTGCTATTCATTAAGAAAAAACAACAAATTTATTTTTTAATAATTCAGATATAAAAATAAAACTTTGGCATATCAAAAAATATATACATTATTTACATCATTTAAGCTCAAGATAATATAAATATGTAAGTTGTATTCGGGCTTTATTGCACAGTCGCTTTACAGTTATATAAGTATTGGACAGTTATTTTACAGTTACATATATATTGGACATTGAAGACGGACGTCAAAAAGACTGTGGCCATTGGCTGAAGATCACAGCCGCTACTGCTGACATGTCACGTGACATCCTGCCAGCTGACATGTCACGTGACATCCTGCCAGCTGACATGTCACGTGACATCCCGCCAGCTGACACCAGTGGGTGTCACACGTCACAGTGCTGCTGTGTGCTGTCACAGTTTGGTGATGATGCTGACGTTGTCGCCGCCCCAGTCCATGCCGGTGTTGTAGATGGTCATCCCACCGACGCTCCCCTGTTCTGACACGTCATCATTGAACCCCAGCCCACTGTCTCTCCTGCTCCCCGCGCTGTCTAGCCGGGCCAGCTTGCACCGGGTCAGCCAAGTTTTGACCGGGCTGAGGGGGGAGGGGCTGCTGGCCAGTTTGTCCACAGGCGAGTCGACCACCACCGTGTAGTCACGCCCACGCTTGACGTCATCGCCTCGGTGCTCCCTGGGGGTGACGTCATCACTCTGCATGCTCGTGCGTACGGCGAAGATATATTCATAGACCAGAGCACCCACTGACCCCCCGACACACGGGGCAGTCCAGTAGATCTGGGGGGGGGGGGGGGGGGATTGTGTATTAGACCGTGACGACATGGGACATAACTAAATGGTCTAACTAAACATTAATGGTCTAACTAAACACTAATGGTCTAACTAAACATACAATGGTCTAACTAAACACACAATGGTTTATTTAACTAAACACACAATGGTCTAACTAAACACTAATGCTCTAACTAACCATCTACCCAATGGTCTAACTAAACACTAATGGTCTAACTAACCATCTACCCAATGGTCTAACTAAACACTAATGGTCTAACTAACCATCTACCCAATGGTCTAACTAAACCTACTAAATGGTCTAACTAACCATCTACCCAATGGTCTAACTAAACCTACTAAATGGTCTAACTAGGCACCTACCCAATGGTCTAACTAAATTGTCTAACTAAATGGTCTAACTAAATAATCTAACTAAATGGTCTAACTAAATGGTCTAACTAGGCACCTACCCAATGGTCTAACTAAGTGGTCTAATTAAACATTAATGGTCTAACTAAACCTACTCAATGGTCTAACTAAACACACAATGGTCTAACTAAATGGTCGAACTAAACACCTACCCAATGGTCGTCCCACTGACCGGTCCACACAGATGGACCAAACGATCGTGCTGGATTCATACTGCCACCTGTGAGATTGCCCTGAAATCAAAGAACACATTCATCATACAACATACATCATACAGCATACAGCATACAGCATACAGCATACAACATACAACATACAGCATACAGCATACAGCATACAGCATACAACATACAACATACAACATACAACATACAACATACAACATACAACATACAACATACAACATACAACATACAACATACAACATACAACATACAACATACAACATACAACATACAACATACAACATACAACATACAACATACAACATACAACATACAACATACAACATACAACATACAACATACAACATACAACATACAACATACAACATACAACATACAACATACAACATACAACATACAACATACAACATACAACATACAACATACAACATACAACATACAACATACAACATACAACATACAACATACAACATACAACATACAACATACAACATACAACATACAACATACAACATACAACATACAACATACAACATACAACATACAACATACAACATACAACATACAACATACAACATACAACATACAACATACAACATACAACATACAACATACAACATACAACATACAACATACAACATACAACATACAACATACAACATACAACATACAACATACAACATACAACATACAACATACAACATACAACATACAACATACAACATACAACATACAACATACAACATACAACATACAACATACAACATACAACATACAACATACAACATACAACATACAACATACAACATACAACATACAACATACAACATACAACATACAACATACAACATACAACATACAACATACAACATACAACATACAACATACAACATACAACATACAACATACAACATACAACATACAACATACAACATACAACATACAACATACAACATACAACATACACCCTCACCCCCACCCACAAGAAAAGCCACCCCCACCCACAAGAAAAGCCACTCACACCCACAAGAAAATCCACCCCACCCACAAGAAAACCCACCCCCACCCACAAGAAAACCCACCCCCACCCACAAGAAAAGCCACCCCCACCCACAAGAAAAGCCACTCACACTCCAGGCTATGTTGGCCGTGACACAGAAGCCGATGCTGAGAGCTGTGGAGCCGGAGTGGTCAGTCCTGAGCCGGTCACAGCTGGAGAACACGGTCAGGGCCAGCAGGAAGCTTGTGCTCATCTCCACCAGGAAGCCCTGAAATACAGAGGTCAAGGTCACATGGCGAGGTCAGCAGATGTCAAGGTCACATGACGGTATTAGCAGAGGTCAAGGTCAGACGCGGTGTCAACATTTGAAATCAAATAGTATAAAAGATGTCAAGAGTTTAGTATCGCAAGAGATCTGTCATGTATAGTGCGTCATGTGTCATGTGTCACGTGATTTACCTGCCATGACATGAGTCCAGGTGCCAGAGATGTGGCACCAATATGGCTGACAGCCCCGTGTGGGAGGGTCAGCCACACGAGCCCCGAGCCTAGACACGCCCCCACCACTTGTGCCACACAGTACACACACAGCTGAGAAGTGAAATATGTCATCAGTTACACACTGTATCAAACTTATCGGTCACAATATAATGTATCAAACTTAGCTCTCACTATATACAAACTGTATCAAACTTAGCTCTCACTATATACTGTATCAAACTTAGCTCTCACTATAAACAAACTGTATCAAACTTAGCTCTCACTATAAACAAACTGTATCAAACTTAGCTCTCACTATATACAAACTGTATCAAACTTAGCTCTCACTATATACTGTATCAAACTTAGCTCTCACTATAAACAAACTGTATCAAACTTAGCTCTCACTATAAACAAACTGTATCAAACTTAGCTCTCACTATATACTGTATCAAACTTAGCTCTCACTATAAACAAAATGTATCAAACTTAGCTCTCACTATAAACAAAATGTATCAAGCGTCGTGCTAAGCCTGATCAAAAATGGGAACATGAATAGATGCAGATAGAAAGAGGTTGGATCAGTTGTCGTCTTACCTTCAGGAGGCCAATGTGGCCAGTCAGGAAAAATCCGAGGGACACAGCCGGATTAACGTGAGACCCACTGATCTGGCCAAATATCCAGATGGCCATGGCCAGCCCCAGGCCAAAGCTGAAGGCCACTGCCATGGTGGCCCCTGGGCCAGCGAGAGTGGCCACCGAGCCGCAGCCTATGAGCACAAGGATGGCCGTACCGAGGAGTTCAGCGCCGGCACTCTTCAAGACTCGCCTCTGACAGACCTCGACCAGACCCAGGTACATCCCGAGACACCTGGCCTCTTGCGGCATCGTGGGACAGGTGGACGGCAGGTGGACGGTAGGTGGACGGCAGGTGGACGGCAGGTGGACGGCAGGTGGAGGCAGGTGGACGGCAGGTGGACGGCAGGTGGACGGCAGGTGGACGGCAGGTGGAGGCAGGTGGACGGCAGGTGGACGGCAGGTGGACGGCAGGTAGACGGCTGGTGGACGGCAGGTGGAGGCAGGTGGACGGCAGGTGGACGGCAGGTGGACGGCAGGTGGACGGCAGGTGGACGGCAGGTGGACGCCAGGTGGACGGCAGGTGGACGGCAGGTGGACGGCTGGCACTAACAGAGACCAGTGGAACAGTTACTCAACAAGATCGTCAACAAAATGTTCTTGAGCTAAACGTCGAGGTAAGTTGGGGGTAACTCCGTCACAGTCGAGTGGTCAGCAGGTAATACAACAACACTAGTTCAAGTTGCCGTCTTATAGCGGGACACAACGAGCCATTGCGTGAATTCATTAACTTTTGATTGTCACACCCCTCCCCCCACCAACCCAACAGTTTTACCGTAAAACTTTTATTTGACTGAAAGCTAAAAATTATAATAAGAATTAATTTAAATTAATTAGAGCGAAAACAAAAGAAACAAAAAACACCCTAAAGCAAAAACGGGTTCACATTTGTATTATTATTTTTAAAACGAGTTATTGATTTCAATAATTAAATCTTGAATGTGTGTATAATTGATTAAAAAAATTAAATAGTGTGTGTATAATTGAGAGCGGCGGCGTCGAGAAGACGACGACAAGCAGACGACAACAGCACCAGTGACAGTGATGGACGACCTCCTGGAACGACGACGTAAAATGGCGGGAAACTTTCCGACAAGCGTTTTGATGACGTCAACAGTTAATTAAATAATGAAATAGTCAAGTGACAAGCGGTGTGTCCGTTGGCGGAGTGATGACGTCAGTTGCCGACGTACAAGTCCGTCTGGCGGCGCTTCCTGTTGTCAGGTAGATGTGTGGTGGATGTGTGGTGGATGTGTGGTGGATGTGTGGTGGGTGTGTGGTGGATGTGTGGTGGATGTGTGGTGGATGTGTGGTGGGTGTGTGGTGGATGTGTGGTGGGTGTGTGGTGGATGTGTGGTGGATGTGTGGTGGGTGTGTGGTGGATGTGTGGTGGGTGTGTGGTGGATGTGTGGTGGATGTGTGGTGGGTGTGTGGTGGATGTGTGGTGGATGTGTGGTGGATGTGTGGTGGGTGTGTGGTTGGTGTGTGGTGGATGTGTGGTGGGTGTGTGGTGGATGTGTGGTGGATGTGTGGTGTTGAGAAGTGTGGTGGATGTGTGGTGGGTGTGTGGTGGATGTGTGGTGGGTGTGTGGTGGATATTTGGTGGATGTTTGTTGGTGTTACCTGCAAAAGTATGCTAGATTCCTCCGACGTCTTTTTTATTCATACGTAAATATGTGTAATATATATATATATATATATATATATATATATATATATATATATATATATATATATATATATATATATATATATATATATATATTACTAAAACTCAAATTGTTTACATGTTGGTATATATCTTTATTTATTTATTTTGTTTGTCTGTTTGGTTACAGGAGAGAATCTGCACTCTGTGTAGAGCTGTAAAATACGTATTTAGGTAGAGAATAATGTTCTTTTTTACCATTCTGTTAATCAAAAATTTATTTAAAGACGTTAATTAATTAATTAATTACTATATTCATTGCTAGAAACACTACTCTAATTATAAAAGTTCAGAACAATGACTTTATTTATAGTGACGTCACATGATTTATTTACACAGTATACAGCAAAATTTTCTGTCGGCTTTAGCTATTTTTACAAGCTTTTATTTAACTCACTTCCTCTGTCGTCAGTCGTCAGTCTGTCGTCAGTCTAGATCGAAACGCTCGGGTGAAAATTCGGTCACTTCTACTTGGCCGATAATATTCACATTTGGCACGTGGGTCAAGACATGAAGACAATATTAGTAAAGGTATCCAATAGGTACTAAAGTACTAAAGTGACCCACGCTTTTCTTTAGAGTAATTTAAATAGTAGTGTATAATTTATTTTCTACTTTTGAGTGTATTAGTACATAAAAGCTTGTTATTAAAACGTTTTTTATGAATTTTTTTTATGAACAACAGTTCATCTAATTTGAGTAGGCCTATACAATAAATTTCTCTAGATCTACAGATAAGCTGTCGGAGGAAGGGAAAGTCTAAGTAGAACTAGATCTAAAATCTAGGTCAAACCAAAATTAATTAGTTGAAAGTAAAAACAGTTACAAAAACACAATAAATTATTGAGTTTCTTTATTAAACTATTTTAGTTCTTAAATATAAGATATAAATCTTTGCTCTTTAGCTTCAATGATCATCTAATTCGAGAATACAAGGATTTATCTATTTAGGTTCTAGCTAGACTCTAGCTGCTAGAGCTATGGAAAAACTAGACTTAAGCCAGCCGTAGATTCTCCAGCTAGATCTAGCTCTATTTAGATCTTGAATCTATGCCAATAATAAATTTCTATGCTAATCTCTTTTCGGCCTTAATTATTTTATATAAATCTTTATTTGTTTGTCTATGGAATTGGCTAAAAAAAATTAATTTGAAATAATAGGGCCTATTCGTGTAACTCAAGTTTCTTACGCTGACTCTAGATCTAAGAAAAGTACCCCACTAATTCTGCACCTGATTGGAAGTGCCTAGATAGCTGAGATGATATGCTGCTGGTACGGGTTCGAGACACATCATGTCAATGTTAATTTTTTTTTTCAATTTTTTTTTTAGATGTAAATGATAACGTTGCCTATCGGGACTTGGCGGGACACGGGACAGGTCAAGTAGAGTTCACCTGTTTCTTTCTTCTCAGCAAATGAAGGAATAGTATGGTCAGACCCATGCCCGGCCGAAATCGGTGTTTTTAAACGATAAAAACATGTTGCCTGAGACTTGGCGAAACACAGGGCAGGTGAAGTAGAGTTGGGCAGGTGTAGAGTTCACCTGTGACGTCAGCATTTGAAGGGATAGTGTGGTCAGACCCATGCTCAGCCGAAATCGGTGTTTTTTTTAAGACAGTAACATTTTGCCTTAGGTGTGCCGTCTTTTTGAATGTGGGGTCTGACTTTTTGTTAAGATGTTTGAAACGGGAAGGGAAAGGGAAAGATACAAATCGTCAAATAAATATATGGTCATTTATGGATGACTTCCGAAACACACAGAATAACGGGTGGTCTAGTACACTACTAACAGAGAGCAGTTTGTATATTGTTTACTTTCTCGTATACTAGGTATAGAGAAAGTATTGTAATCGTGCAAAAAAAAAAAACAACTTGCAAATCTCGACGTTTTACACCCCCCCCCCCCCCCCCCCCCTGAGTCGGAAAAACATAGTTTTGCAATCTTGTCCGTATATCTGTGTGTCTATATGTGTGTGTGTATGTATGTCTGTGAACACGATAACTTGAGTACCGTTACAGCTAGGTTGGTGAAACTTCATATATAAGTCTTATATCAAATTTGGTGGCCGGAAAGAACCGCAACGGAAAAAAGCGCAACGGAAAAAAGGGCAAAACAAAAAGCGCAACGGAAATAAGCGCACACGGAAAAAAAGCGCAAGGAGAAAAAAGCGCAAAGAGAAAAAAGCGCAAAAAGAAAAAAGCGCACACAGAAAAAAAGCGCAAACAGAAAAAAGCGCACACGGAAAAAAGCGCAAAGAGAAAAAAGCGCACACAGAAAAAAGCGCAAACAGAAAAAAGCGCACACGGAAAAAAGCGCAAAGAGAAAAAAGCGCACACAGAAAAAAGCGCAAACGGAAAAAAGCGCAAACAGAAAAAAGCGCACACAGAAAAAAGCGCAAACGGAAAAAAGCGCAAACGGAAAAATGTGCAAACAGAAAAAAGCGCAAACGGAAAAAAAGCGCAAACAGAAAAAAGCGCACACAGAAAAAAGCGCAAACAGAAAAAAGCGCAAAAGGAAAAAAGCGCAAACAGAAAAAAGCGCACACAGAAAAAAGCGAACACGGAAAAAAGCGCAAAGAGAAAAAAGCGCACACAGAAAAAAGCGCAAACAGAAAAAAGCGCACACGGAAAAAAGCGCAAACAGAAAAAAGCGCACACGGAAAAAAGCGCAAAGAGAAAAAAGCGCACACAGAAAAAAGCGCAAACGGAAAAAAGCGCAAACATAAAAAAGCGCACACAGAAAAAAGCGCAAACGGAAAAAAGCGCAAACGGAAAAAAGTGCAAACAGAAAAAAGCGCAACCGGAAAAAAGCGCAAACAGAAAAAAGCGCACACAGAAAAAAGCGCAACCGGAAAAAAGCGCAAACAGAAAAAAGCGCACACAGAAAAAAGCGCAAACAGAAAAAAGCGCAAACGGAAAAAAGCGCAAACAGAAAAAAGCGCACACAGAAAAAAGCGCAAACGGAAAAAAGCGCAAACAGAAAAATGCGCAACCAGAAAAAACAACGAAAAATGTGCAAAAGGAATGAGGGGAATGCACATGGCTGTGGTACGCTTTAAATGGTAGTAGATCACGTGATCAAACACGACACTCTTACAGCAGCCCTAACTGTCATGTATAAATGTGTCATCTAGTCGATATAGGTATTTGTGCTAAATTTCTCTTTTGCACATTTTTCGTTGTTTTTTCTGGTTGCGCATTTTTCTGTTTGCGCTTTTTTCCGTTTGCGCTTTTTTCTGTGTGCGCTTTTTTCTGTTTGCGCTTTTTTCTTTTTGCGCTTTTTTTCTCTTTGCGCTTTTTTCTCTTTGCGCTTTTTTCCGTGTGCGCTTTTTTCTCTTTGCGCTTTTTTCCGTGTGCGCTTTTTTCTGTTTGCGCTTTTTTCTGTGTGCGCTTTTTTTTTTGCGCTTTTTTCTCTTTGCGCTTTTTTCTCTTTGCGCTTTTTTTCTGTGTGCGCTTTTTTCTCTTTGCGCTTTTTTCTGAGTGCGCTTATTTCCGTTGCGCTTTTTGTTTTGCGCTTTTTTCCGTTGCGCTTTTTTCCGTTGC